GTCTTGAAAGGCCCAAAATCCTTTATTAGTCATGGCTCATTCGGAGGCTTTTTTTGGGATTAGACATGACTCTCAGAGTACTTCCCGTGTCAGGCATGGATCCCCAGCTCTTTTCCGTATAGGTTGTCCATTCAGAGCAACTTGGTCTCAAAGTAATTTGTTGTCAAAGCAAGTACAACGACTGCTTAGTCATTCTCGCACAAACATCCTCCAACGAAGGTTTGACATTGAAAGTTTTCAAAGTACTTTCAAACACTCTTGAAGATTTCAGACCTGAAGCCGTTTTGTGTCAGCCTAAAATTCAGAACTTGGCCTCTAAGTATTTCCACTTCTAAGGTGTCAGTTTGCCTCCTCTGACAAGGTAGCTGGAATTTTACTCCAAACGGAATTGCTTGTGCCTTATTTCATCAGAACGCCGCCGGAGCAAATTTTTAAATACTTTTCATCCCATTTTTAGTGTATCTCTTCATCAAACTTAGAAAGCTATTTGACACCTTTCCTCCGAATTAGAATACTTCGACAGCCCGCCGTTGTTTCTTCCATTCTAGAATCTTCCATTCCTTTTCCAGGCCATCTCTTTGGCAAACTAAGAAAGGCCACTGATAGCCTTCCTTTAAATGGAAATGCGTGTTCAGACCTCGGTCAAAGCAGTTGTTAAGAACTACCATCTCCTCCTATAAATACCCCCTCACCCTCTTCATTTCACCGCCAACACACTTGCACACCAGATCAACACATTAAATCTCACTATCACTCTCTTGAGTACTGAAGCTCTTGAAAATTTACTATAAAATCTCTTTATGAATGTCTTCTTCAAGTCTTTTGCTACAAAGACTTGAAGCCTTCTTTAAGTTCTTGAGGAACTCCATAGTTTCTAAGTGTTGACCTCCTTAGAAACTCTTCAAGAACACCTTTCAATACTTTTCCAACACCACCTGAGAGCGTTCTGAGAGTTGTTTTCACACTTTCCTGAAAGTATCCAAGCCTCCAACCTCGGAGCCATTCTCGTCCACCATCGGAGGGAGTGCTCCAAATGGTCTCCACGCTCTCGGAACAGCCTGCATTTGCTTTCGGAGCTCTTTCACCAGACTCCTATCATTTTTCTACATCAGCGCCTTATCCACCAAGGAAGCTACATATTTAAAGCCTCCAAAGCAGCTCAAAAACTACTTTTGGATCCCTTCTCCATCAAAAAGCCTTATTCACCTCTCGAGTCACCTTCTCCATCAACTACGTGATCACTCCTCCCACCATTCTTCATTCGCGAAGTTCTTCATTATTATTTTTTTGGATTTTCTAACATTTTTTGCAAAAATATTTTCGTGATTTTGGCAACAAAGAGAGTCCTAGAAGACATGTTCTTCAGCCTAATTTAGGCCTAAGCGAACCACATTACCGTCGGAGGTCTTACCATCGTTGTCTAGTTCGAAGGCTCGTTAAATGTTTTGGCCACGTTGGAACTGCCACCAACGAATTAAATACTTACACGTGCACACCCCTACCATGTCATACCTCTCAGATCTACCGGACCTCAACATCAATTTTTTCAAAAACTTAAGCGATAAGAAGATGAGTCAATAATAATATATAATCTAAGACTTCTCCTTCACGTGTGGGTCTAGACCTAATCATAGGTACGTGTGGGTCTAGACCTAACAAAGTACCTATGATGGACAAATTAATCAAGGAGGAGAATGCATGTACAAATACAAACTAGAAAATACACCCACATTTAGATGAATAAACTGCTTTGGTACAATATTAATTAAGACCAGCCTATCTTGAAAACTTAAACTGCACAATAAGAGGTAGGTTAACAGTAATATTTATATTCTAATTATAAAATGATTGTTGTTTCGTACTATGCTCCCATCATTAGTTGTAATTACTTCATCATAATTATAAAGATATATATATATATATATATATATATTTCTAAGCCAATATTATTCTTTTCACACCTCGACCAAGAATAAACATTCTTTTCACTCAATAGAGTTAGTGGAACATTATTATATATAATTCTGACAAGTGAGATAAAAGTGTCAATTACTATAACGAGAAAACCGTTGGTATGTTGACAAAACAATCGTTACAGATAAGATGTCACCTCCTTTTTCTTCACGTGGCAGTATTATGCGTGTAATGTTGTCATCGGTGTCTTTGCTAGTAAATTAAACAAACTATATTCAATTCTATCAAACGATTAAACCATATATATATATATATATATATACATATATATCATCGAGAAGAAAAATGTCGTATAATTGACAAATGTATGTTTGCCTTTACTCCTTCAGTGTCCGGGGTTGAAGATACTGCCGACTGCCAAATAGCTGGTATACATGTATAAACAAACGTTGCTAGAGCAAAATTTCATCCCACACTTATCCAACGTTCTTAAATTTATAATTTAGATTGAACAAGTAAATAATTTAAAAAATTAAGAGGACGTTTAGTTGGAGGATTCAAACCATGTGATTCGAACCATTTTTTATTTACGTGAATTTTTTATGAGAGAAAATACTGTAACGAACCACGAATCATGATTCGAATCAGGGAACAAATCCCTCTACCAAACATCCTCTAAAAGAACACACGAAGAATACAAATGACTTTAGAAAAATAACAAGAACAAAGTAAAAATAATCACAAGGTAACTATATTCAAGAATGAGTTTGTACATTTTCCTCTTTCATCTCTTTTTAATACAATAAAGCTCTTCACCTTTTTAGGTGTTATAAATAATTAATAAACGAGTTAAACTTGTGTCACTGAATGTCTTTAACCGTCGACCTTTACTTGATAGTGATGCTTGATAACTTTTGACCTTTCAACTTCTTCCTTGCCCGAACGAACACTCGAGTAGTTATCTTAGTGCACGCTCAGGTAGTTACCTTACCATACGTTCGGGTGGTTTCTCTAGTGTACGCTCAAGTAGCTTGAAAACTTCTTTCGTTTTTATCATCTCCGAAAAATCCATCCAACAAACGTAGTAATACATAACCAGTGAATTTGTGGCTGGTTTGCATGAATTTCACTAGCAATACTAGCTGGATGATTTGTTTTCCTCCATCTAATTAAAGTAAACTGAGAAGCTACCCAGGCGCAATATTAATATTGTTCTAGCAAACGTTGTAATAATATATTGTTTGTTTCATTTTTGTTCCATTTGGGTGATTATACATGCTAATGCTATATATATATATATATATATATATATATATATATATATATATATATTCATTATGTATATATGCACGCTAGCTATGTGGTATTGTAGCAAACTTATATTAAAAATGTGGAGAAAAAGTGGTTGAGCTGAAACACCTGTTCAAAACAAAATATACACGTGGTTGAACTAGACACATAATGATCACTTTTGTCAAGTGATGACGATTCGGATTAGATTGAACTAAGGCATTTTGTCAAGTAAAGTGAGCCGACGTTGTAATAAAGAAGATCGTCTAGAGAATGAAGTTCAAATCGGAAAAAAAATAAGTCAATTGACATAGGCAAATAAAAGTTCAAGTTAATTGAATGGCTTTAAGAGGCAAACGAAAATCTAACGCGGCTTGAACGGCAGTAGAAGAAGAGAATTTTTCTTTTACTACACAACTTAGAATCTGCCCGATTGACTCCCAAAGAAGCCCAGCTGGAAACTCAATTGCATTTCCATTAGAATTCAGTGTCGTAAGGAGGGTCTGTGAGGGAAAATTGTGTCGTTGTAGTTGATTTTGTGCATTAGACGAAAAAATATACGCTATCTATTGTAGAAGTCTTAGGTCCCGTTTATTTTACCGATTCGAGTTTAGAATTCGAATTTTGTTACAGTAAAAAGCTTTTAAAAACAGTCACATCTAACTTTTTTGCTATAGTAAAAAACTCTCATATAAAGTCACATCTCAACTCAAGTGAGCGAACTACACGGGCCCTTAATCACGGGCACAAGTTTGTTCACAATTAGCCATCAACATGTATACAATATTAGGCTCGATTCTTGCACCTCAAGTTAAGTTCTTTTTTGCCAAATACATACATATGTATTATAATATATATATATATATATATATATATATAATACATATAAAGTACCTCAAACCGACACGTATATGGGGTCACAATAGTCATGTTGGAGGGAGTGGATTAAAGAAAAAGATTAAACCTAACACAAACACAAAGCATAATTTGAAAAGTAAATACGCAAAGATTAGAAAAAAGAAAAGAGAGGTTTCCCATCAGACAAGTGGGTGTCCGAACCATGTGCGCTCATGTGGTGGTTGGCCCTCTTGTGGGTCCCAAACCCCACTTCTCCCACCCTATTCCCTTTGATAATGAAAGGCTAATTAAAGAACAAATTACATAAACACTAGGGCAAATCCTTGTTCTTGTGACGCGTGTAAAGCCACGCGATCCCTTATTGGCTAAGAGACGTCCGAGGGCCCTACCCAGCCTCGTTTGTGAGCGCTAATAAACAAAATTAAAAAAACATTGCTTTCTCAGCTTAAAGCAACCTTTGGGAGGATTTAAATTGTAATGTCGTCCTCACTTCAAAAAAAAAAAAAAAAAAAAAAAAATTGTAATTTCTTCCCATTTCAATATCCCCACCCCCTTTGGCCTTGGTCTTGCTGATGAATTGCGTGATTCCCTCGCTTTCCCTTGTTGAAATAGACTTGTAGTCATAATATATCTCAGGCTTATGTGATAGGGAATAATTATTATTTAATGTTTAGTGCATACATTTTGGTCATATGAAGTTCATTGTTTATGATGAAGATAACAAACGCTTAATTAACTTATCATGTTATATAAAAAATAAAAAAAAACTTTTGATTCCCTGAATTCTAAATTTATCTCTGCCGTCCATTTCAATCATCCCCTTACCCACTCATCTCCATATCCTTCTCCAATTCTCTTTCCCAAATCCCTATTCCCAACTTCTCTCTCTCTCTCTCTCTCTCTCTCTCTCTCTCTCTCTCTCTCTCTCTCTCTCTCTCTCGTTGTGTTACTTTTGTACAAGAACACAAGAGAGTTTTCTGGTTGTCTTGTCCTTGCAATAAGCAAACAGGATAGAATAGGGCCTCCTTTTTTTCGGTGTCAGAAGGAAAATCCCATCTCCCAATCTATCCGTTTTTCATCTCTGTACCCTCTCTCCTAATTCTTTGCATGCGCAAAAGTTCATGTTAGTTGCACTACTACACAAATATTCTTAACACGATCCCACCACCGATATATATCCATATTATACACACACAGATATATATATATATATATAGCTCTAAAGCCCTTCTATCCATATTTCAAACCCTACAATTTCTCATCTAGCACCATGACTAATTCTCCAAAGGGCTTCACCCTCAACAACGCCGACTCTTGTAGAGTCAAGTTTGCCCGTAGATTCCTCCGATCCCTAATCGAAATCAAAACCCGTCAAACAAATTATAATAACAATCTTTCCTCTTCTCCTTCTTCTTCTTCAGAAATCCGCAGACGCAGCGAACGAATAAAGCTCAAGGCCTACTCATCCATGGCGCATGCAGTCGGGCCAAGGAAGGCATGGACAAGAGCTCTTCTACTGAAGCTCCACAACCGAGCAAAACGCCATCGTTTCCGCACGAGAAAGAGATCAAGCTTGGCTATGGTACTGAAGAAGAAAAGGGTGTTCAGAGTTAAGAATCATGCAAATTTTTACAAGCCAGCAGCTGAAAGAGGGAATTATTCTGTATTAAATAGTGACGAGAAAACTGAGAAGCTTCGAGAGCTCGTTCCTGGAGGGAAAGCCATGGATATCTGCAGCTTATTAGAGGAAACTGCTCACTTTATTAAGTGCCTTGCTATGCAGGTTCAAGTTATGCATGAGATTGCCGATCAGTTATCCAACTGAGCATTAATTTGGGAGTAGTTTGTATATATAATATATGGTTTCATATATTATACACACGAGACATACATGTTCATGTTAAAAGAGGGGGAAACAAACTAATACAGTATCAAAAGAATTATATATAATTGTCTTTTTCTGCATATATATAAAGTAGTTACAAGTTTCTGCTTTCTTGAAGGGTTATTCCATATATATATATATATATATATATGACACAGGTTTTAATTAGACTGTAACGAAAAATGGGTTTTGTTGGTTGTACATGTTTAAACTCTGACTTGTGTTATAATAGTACATGGCTGGTGATCGATATATATGTTTATATATATACATATGTAGATATCCTTCTTAATTTTCTCTCTCTGAACAGGACTCCAATTTTCATGCTAGCTGTACTGGATGTGTGTTTTTTTTTTTTTATTTTAAAGATTCTTTTTTCATTTGCTGAAACATTTGTATTAAAGATTATATACAATACAAGTACTTACAACTTGTTCTGTTTCCTGTTTGTACGGTTTGCGATGTAGTAAAAAATAAAATAAAATAAAATAAGGAACCAGCTGTTAAGGATTGTGCGCGTGATCCATGCATGAATATTTGTCTTTCAGTTCAGTTTGGTAAAGAAGAACAGGGGTACTTTCCTTGGTGGAAATTAATTTGTGAGGTAACTTCCATTAATTTTCTTTACTTATTTTTTCTGGAAACATTTAATATTGTCATGTAATAATTGAAGAATCTAGGACAGAACATATATATCACAGTTTGTAAGGATACTACATAGGTATAAATAAACAGTAAAATATATATATATATATAATATGGTTTTTAAATACATATTAGTTTTAGGTCTACATTTAAGAGAGCATGCATCATTTAGTGGATATTGAGTCAATGTGTTTGTTTATTACTTGATCGTATTATATTCATTTGAATAATCTCTTCAGAGTGAAGAGAAGGTGGTTTAATTAACTTCTTTTTTTTTAGCAAGCCAAAACTGATAATAATTCTACAAGATCATGTAGAGGGATAATACAGTTTGTCGGCATTCTTGCATAAAGTGATCACATCTTGGTTTAAGCTGTACGACATAATAATTAGATAAACGATGCCAAATATTGTTAGCTTTCCACACACTTCTGGAAGAGAGAGAGAGAGAGAGAGAGAGAGAGAGAGAGAATTGGAAGTTTCCAAATTTTTCTTACTAAAAAGCTGCCTGCGAGATTAGTCCTATTAATTAATATTGTTTTTACATTCAGCGTTTCTAAACTACGAGAAAAAATGGTGACATTTGAAAAAGTAAAAATTAGGGCTGGACTTATATCAGAAAAGTATTTTGGAATATGTACTTGTGTTAGTTAGAAGCCTAGAGTAACTTTGTTGACCTTTGTAGAAAACGTGGCGAGCTCAAACTCACATGAGATGAATATTCCATAAAATGTTTTTAAACTCCCTTCTACTTTCGAATCAATAACTCTTTTTTTCTTTTTTATTTTTCGTTTCCTTTTAATCTACTCCTATATATATCGTTCTTTCGGAAGGTAGGCTAACACAGTCGGAAAGATTATATATATATATATATATATATATACATGTATATGACATACACACACGCATATATGAGTGTATGTGCATATATATATATATATATATATATATATATATATATATATGCGCAGAGGTAAATAAAATATTGGAAAGGTAAGGACCTGTTTGGACATGTTCTCGGTTTTAATTTCTATTTTCAAAGATAAAAACAAAAACTATTTCATTTGTTATTAGAGAATAAGTTGTGATTGGCAATTGTTTTATGAAAATAGTTTTTGAGAACAAAAACAAAAACAAAAAAAAAAAATTTGTGTTTAGATAGAGTTTCTGAAAATATAATTTTTTCGCGTCTTATTTTCTTCCATTTCTACTATAATTTGCTCACATCATTTACCCTCCTATCTTTCTCTCTCATCATTCTCTCTCCTTATTTTCTCTTTCATCAGTCTCTCTCCTTAACTTTCTCTCTCATAATTCTCTCTCCTCACTTTCTCTCTCATAATTCTCTTCCCTCACTTTCTCTCTTATCATTCTCTCCCCTTAACTTTCCTCCTCATCATTCTCTCTCCTATCTTTCACTTCCCTCACATTCTCTCTCCTCATTCTCTCTCCTTTCTCTCTCTCTCATCATTCTCTCTCCTTACTTTCCCTCTCATCTTTCCCCTCACTTTCTCTCTCATCATTCTCTTCTTCATTTTCTCAATACTAATTTCAATGAAATTACGAAAATAAAAATCAAAGTTGATATTAAAAAAGCTTATAGTACTTGTCCATAGCATAATATAAAAATTAAAATGCAGTTGAAATTCTCAATATCAAAGTTAATATTATAAATTGCTTACAATAATTGTTCATAACATATTAAAAAAATTAAAATACACTTTAAATTCGCAATATTAAAGTTAATATTAAAAAAAAAAAAGCTTATAATACTCGTCGATAGCCATAACAGCACTTGATTCATCTGATAAATCCACTGCATAGCGTGAGTCGCTCGTGCTGGCTTAGTCTTCTCTGTTTATTTCCATCACTCGCTCTTCACATTCTCTAAAGATAGGATCGAACTGAGTTCGTTGACGAATAAAATTTTGAAGGGTACAACAAGCTTTAACAATTAATATTAGCTTCAAAGCAAGTAAATTCCCTTGTGCAATAGCACTTCAATTTTTCTATAAGCACAAGGAAAGTGGAAAAAGTGAAGCATTTAATACCTTCTTAATTTCGGTACTGGAAAATTATTTTCCTCTCTTGTAATAGCATCTATGAACACCCTCGAATCATTTGCAGTGCCCTCCATACTGACACAAAAGAAGGTGAACAACATGTCAAAGTTACATGCCCACAAGACATTTTGTGTCAGAGTACTCTTTCAACCTCTATAACTAACTTGCTTATCATCAGGAACATGTGCGCTTATATTTGTGCCATCCATTGCCCCAATGCAATATTGTCACCACCACAAATAGAAGATTAGACGATGCCTATTTAACAATATATTTTTAGGAAACCGTCGTCTAATGGATTAAAAAAACGTTGTATGAACACAAAAAATCTAAACGTGCACATTAGACGACAGTTTTTTAAAAAGCCGTCATTTAATGTAGTATATTAGATGACGGTTTCTAGAAACCGCGCCTAATGTGACACATTAGACGCCGCTTTTTTAAAACCCGTCGTCTAATGTCAAAAAAATTTTTAAAAATAAGGCGAACTTTTTTTTGCTCATTTTTTTTCAAAACATTTTTAAAGCTTTTATATCTCATTTATAACTTCGAGCATTCTCTTACAGACTCTAAGTTTATTATTTCAAATGTCTCCATCTCTCCAAAGCTCTCTCTCTTTTCCTCACACCCTAACTCTATCTCTAACTCTCCTCTCAACACTTCAATTTTTTTCTCTCAAATCTCATCTCTTCTACACTCCTCACTCCCATTACTATACGTACTCCTCACTCCCCCTCAACTTGGCCACTGCCTCCAAGAGCCTCACAATCATGCTCATACGTCGCCGGCCGTCATGGCCTCACCTCCATCTCCGCCACTACATAATGACCATCGAAATAGGTACTTTGTTAATCTTTTAAAATTTCTTTTCTTTGAGATTAGTTTGTTTTTGTTTGGATTTAGAGTTTTCTTTGAATTAATTAGGTATTTTTGTTGTTAAATTTCGTAGAGACGTTTGGTTTTGAAATATTTGTGTCACATATATATTGATTATGTATGAGAAGGTAAGTTTGTAAAATGTTATTTTGAATTTTTTTCATGTGTGTTGTTCAATTACCTGTGATAATAATTGAAGAAATAATTTTTTTGAGCAAAGAGTTAGTTTTAGGCAAAAATATATATTTTTTAATTTTTTAATACTTTTAACGACGGATTTTTTAAAAACCATTGTTAATCATTAGACGACGGTTTTTAAAAAAACCGTTGTTCAAAGTTGATATTAGACGACAATTTTTCAAAAAACCCGTTGTCTAATGTACTTTTTTAAACTCTTGTGGCGTTTCACGCGCGTATTAGACGAAGATTAAAAACCGTCATCATATCTCTTGAATATTTAACGACTCTAAATACGACGACAATTTTTAAACCATCGTTGTATCTTTTGACAACGGTTTTTTACCGTCGTCTTATCTCCTATTTGTTCTAGTGGTAAAAGAAAAATTTTAAAACTTTAATTTAGTTATAAAATTAAAAGAGAGTGAGCATATGTCATACAAATGTATGACATGTCCTATCGTTGCCATAACATGTCCTACCGTTGCCACTCAACAACTCTTTTATAAAAATCTTCACCGATGCAGCTTTGATGTTCTTTGACGTATTTTTTTTTTTTAAGAAACATTTTCACATATTCACTTAGAAACTTCAGCATCAAAAAATCAGAAAAATTATCAAAGTCGCTACTCGAAGAAGATGAACTATATGGAAGATCATCCATCTCCCCAAACCTGTTAATAATATAAGATATATCCATCAATAATAATCCTGTAATTATCTTTATGTAATTATTCTTAGTACTAATAATAAAAATTCATGTCTACATTATCAATAATTCAAAAATAAATGGCTAATACAATAATTCAATGATATTATGTTTGATTTCCATTACATCACAATCATCATACTCAAGAATGAGGCCCCAACTCGATATACATGTCAAAAGAATTAATTGTCACAAAAAATCAGAACAAGAACAGAATCCATTCTTTTTAAAATAACGAAATCTATTGGCAATCACTACAAAAACCATAATAAATTTTTTGGATTGTCAATCATCATATAAGTCTAGATATTACAATCCCATAATACTCATATCATCATACAAGTCTGCCCAACACTAGGAGGCTATTGGCTTTTAGTTATCTCACAACTTGTTGCATAACCACAACATTTAGGGAAGTTATAAAAAGGACAACGATAAGTAAAGTCAAAGTACTAAACAACTAAACAACAAACTTATCCAAATTGTCTGTCTCTTATATTACCCTTCTTTACTTCATCAAATTGTACACCCCTTATTATCTATAGCAGGATTCCACAAAGTTGCATCTTCC